ATGTTCTGAGCTCAGTTGCAAGCGCTGCCCACACTACCTACGCTGCCCACGCCGCCCTGGCTGTCAAACTCCAGCGCTGTTCACAAGCCTCGAGCCTGACTCCTTAAAACGCAAGGGTGCTCGGTCATCGCTGGCCGCTGAGGTGCGAGCTCCAGGCCTTGCAGATTCGGCTCTGGGCTGGCAGGGAGCTGTTCCTCGCTGGCCCGACCAGCCTCTGGCTCAGGACTCTCTCGGAAGCAGGCCCTGCCCTGGGGGGCCCCTTCCTCCCTCCCCAAGCACCCCATGGTCATCAGTGCTCATGGCCTCGCATTTCCACTCACTGCTGGGCAGCTGAGCGGCTCACACTTGCCTCGGCAGCCATGGCCAATAAAAGCCTGGCTGAGTCCTGAGCCCTGGCCCCGGGCTTGGGGGAGCACTGGCCGGGTTGGTAGCACACCCCACAGCAGGCCCTTTTGCCTGCCTGCAACTGGGCCCTTGCACCTTCTGGCCCCGGGCTGAGGATGCCTCTTCCAAGGCTGCCGAAAGAAGTTGCTCTCCAAGGCTTCCGGTCTCCATGCCTGTTACCAGGTAACCGGAAACATCTGCAGTACAGGAGGCCGGGGGGCGGGGGGAGCTGCTGAAGGTGGGGTGCTCAGAGAACAAAAGGTATCTGTCCCCCAAGGCTGGGCTAGGGGCAACTTTATGCCTTCAGTAAACAACAAGGAGAAATACCTGCATGCAGGCAGACCCCCCAAGCTCCCCCTAGACTGGAGGACACAGGTCTACTCCTCCCTCTCTGCTTTTTATGGCCATGTTTTTCTTATAGTGTGGTGATTTATGAGCTTTCTAAAGGTAATTAAGTACGTGCCTTTTTTGCCTTATATACTGTAAACATTAGGGTGTATTCAGGTGTAAATAGCTGAAAACTTGGTCCAACCAGACTTATACAGAAAAAGGTAGTTACTGTCCATGTGTCTTTCGAGTCCAAGAGGAGCGTGGGCTTCCGTATAGTTTGGCCAGGGGTTCAGGCTGTCGTCAGGACTTGATTTCCTTCTGACTCTTCTCTCCCCGACCCCCATGTGTCTGCCGCCATGCCCCAGCCCCACACAGCGGCTGCCGACAGGTCCCAGGACTTACACCCAAACGCAGAGAGCAAAGAGCTCAGCTTGGTTCCTGTACCCCAAGCAGAAGTCCTGAGAGTCACCCTGAGCGGGGTGATTGGTGGCCTGTTGTAGCTGGGAGATAAAACTGACCTAACCAGTGTGCTCCATCCCTGGAACCAGGACTCAAAACTGGCTTCCCAGGTCCCTAAACAGACCCAGACCGGAAGTCAACAGGAGCTCTGGACCAGAAGCTGGGCCACTCTGCGGAGATTCTGTGCATGGAAAAGACTTCTGCCAGGCATTGAATCTGAGGGCTTTTCTTAGGCCTAAGGCAAAGCCAGAGTTCTCAGGGCCACAGCCGCTGCAGGCTGTCACACAGAAGGCTGAGTCAGGAGTGGGCACCCCTTTACCATGTGTCTTCAAGTGTCTACCGTCAGCATGGCAGGATAGACCAGAGGTGCTCCAGCCCAAGGAAGCCACACTGTAACATCAGCCACACGGGGCAGCAGGGATTTCATGCCGGTTTATGTGGCAATATCTAGGACAATCACTGAGGGCTTCCTAGGGGTGGCATGTTGTGGGCAGCTTCTTAAGGGGTGGTTGTGGGGGCATCCCGGGCGCATGGGCCAGGCAGCGTGCTGCGGAGAAGAAACAAGAGGGTTCTGCTTCTGCTCAGGTTTTTACCTGAGCAGAAGGATTGCTACCATTTAAAATGCAGACCCACCCATGCGCTCTGGTATGATGTACATATAAACGTACACAGGGCGTTGGGTACCGGGCACCTTCTTTCTGACAGCACACAGCAATGTCAAAGGTTTGGGGACTGAACCACCTTGAAGGATGAAGCTGAGGGCCGGCAGAATTCAGGGTGGGCCTGGCAGGGCTCTGGGGGCGAGGCCATCCGGTGGAGGCAGGCACCCCTAGCTGTGTCCTGCTGGGGCCGAGAGCCCAGCACTGGCGAGGCCAGGTCCAGTTCCCCTCTGGTGCTTGCTTCCTCCATCAGCTGCCTCCTCCTCCTCCTCCTCCTCAGCAAGGCCCTGCTTAGAGGATGGCTGCCAGGGAAGGGGTCCCAGGGCTGTGGCCGGTGTGCCCTCCTCGCTGCGCCCCATGGGAAGACGTGGGGAGCCCACAGCCAGTGCCTCATGGCACGCGGTCCTGCAAGAGGGGCTGATGACTGCCAGGACCCCTGGGGTTGGCCATGCTGCCCGGTGCCCGCAGCAGAAGCTGCCGGGTAAGAGGCCACCAGGCCCAAACCCGCGGATGGCTGCATAAAGCCGAGGCCACAGCGGGGTGGCAGGGGCTGCCAGACCCCAGGAGCAATCTGGCCCCTGCCGTGGTGACGTGAGCGTCTTCCTTCCTCGCCGCAGTTATCCCTCCAAGTCAGACTGAATCACTCGCTCCAAACCTCAAGCCCGACAGGCACACGTAATGCCCGGCCTGGAGCCCGGGTAGGGGGCTGAGCAGCCTCCCTTCCTGGCAGAGAGATGCGAAAGGCAGCACTGAGAGGCTTACCCATGGTAGCCCTGGGGCATGGGCAGTAAAAGGATTTTAATCCCATTTCACAGCCAAGAAAACCAAGATCTGCAACTGATCGTGGGCATTCTCCAAGAGGCGCAAGGAAACCAAGCCTGGTGCTGTATGTCTGTAATCCCAGCACTTGGGAGGCTGAGGCAGGAGGATCACTGTGAGTTCAAGGCCATCCTGAGCTATATAGTGAGTGCAAGGCCAGCCTGACAAAGCCACCCTGTCTAGAAAGCACCCGCCCACCCCCCATCCAGCTGTGTGCCCAGGAAGGGACATCCCTCAGGAGGGCCTGGTCACGTGTTAGGTGGACCTTAAAAATCACAGCCATCAGAGAAGACAGCTTGAAGCCTGAGCTGTCTGACAGATCCTTCCGTCTTTCCCCCACTCCCTCCCTGCTCTGGAAAGAGCAGAGCAGCTCTGACCACACAGTCACTCCCAGGATTAAGTAGCCAAAAAGCACGTAGTCTAGACAAACAGATTTTATGGGCCAATTAATTCCTGCCAGTCAAAAATAGCTGTGCTTAATAAGAGGCCCTATTTAGAATCTGTCATTATCTGGCCCCCTGGGGGACAAGGCTCAGCTCAGAGTTCACAGACTTCATCTCACACGGAGCCCTGCGGACCCCTGCGGACCCCTGCTTGGGACCTGGCTTTTTTGGGCAGAGCAAGGCTGAGGCAGGCGGAGTGAGGAGCCTGTGGCCGCGAGAAGCCATCAAAGTCCTGGGTGGCTTGAGCCGCAGGCGGGGATCCTCTCCACCAACTTAAGTCAGAAAGCTAGTAGAGGCCGCTTCTTTGGGCCGTGTGGCCAGGCAGTGGGCAGCTGCTGGAAGAGCAGGTTTAACAGGCTCCTAAAGGCCTCACCTAGCTGGGGACATAGCTCAGTGGCATAAGCACCTGCCTGGCAAGCACAAGGTCATGCGTTTGATCCCCGGTACTGCAAGAAAAAAAAAAAAAAGGCCTCACCTGTCCCTCTGTCCCCAACTCCCCCACCTCTCCTGTACACCTCTGATCCGGAAGTCTCTAGGTCTGTTGTGAGCTGAGGGCCCCACTACAGCACTGCTGTCCCTAAAAAGGGACACTGGGTTTTCTTGTTTGTTTTTTGGAGACAGGATTTCCCTATGTAGTTCAGGCTGGCCTTGAATTCATGGCGATCCTCCTGCCTCAGCCTCCCAGCCCAAGCTCCACTGAGCAGACCGCGCAGAGCACAGCAGAGTCCTGGCTGATGGCTCCAGGCCCTGCTGCCTGGTCTCTCTGCTATGTGTGCTGGAGTGACAGGCTTGCACAGCTGTGCCTGGCAGGCACACTATCTTGAGTCACTGTTATTAGCCCTTGGGCCTGCGCAGAGGGCAGGTTGGGCACCCAAGGCCCTGATGGCTTCAGACACAGTGAGTGCCACGCTGCTGCCAATGGGCGGCCAGGGTCCTACAGCCGCCTCGGGCCATTGGGAGGGGACATGGGGAGTTCAGGGGATGCTCTCGGGGCCCTCCAGGCTGCAGCCAATCTCTCCCTGGCCTCAAGGGAGCTGAGCCCAAGCCACACCAAGGGTCTTCAGCTTCTCCTGGAAGGCCAGGAGGGCTCAGCCTGCCAGAAGGAAAAGAGCCAGGCTAGAAACACAAGGCATGAGGGGCTGGGGATTTAGCTCAGCGGCACAGCGCCTGCCTGGCAAGCACGAGGTCGTGAGTTCGATTCCCGGTACTGGGGGGAAAAAAAAACAAACAAACATGAGGCGTGGTGGAAGATGTGGTGAATATCTCCCTATCACCTATTTATTATAGTAATAGACAGACTCATCCCAAGCGCCATCAAAATCCTCTTCTATTTTCAAGACATTTATCCCATCCCTCCTGCCACCTTCTGAAGCAGTTCTGGAAGTCCTCTTCCTTGCGTGTCTTTAGTTGCTGTCATGGCTACCTGCATGTCCTGAACCGATTCAAACTGCCGTCCTTTCACGGTACTTTTGCCTTTGAGGAAGAGCCAGAAGTTGCACGGTGCCAGATCCAGTGCATGAGTAGATAAGGACACACTGAGACATTTTTTGCCCGCCCACCTTTCCACTGGATGGTGCTCGGAAGCAGCATTCATAGTATTTTTGATCGGGCTTCATAAAGACACTCATGAAAGAGCACTTCCAGAAGAGCTGCAGAAAGTGGTAGGAACAATGGGGTAAGTTTGTTTGCAGCAAGGGGGAAGATGGCGATGTGTCTTTTACTGTAATAAGTTTCTAATTTAAACACTAAATACTTTGACCACCCCTTGGATGCACCCACATAAACAAGGGTGCAGCCCCCTCCCGGGGCTGCTGCTCCGTCTTCCCCTGACTCCTCACCTGGCCCCATCCTCTGCCAGGAAGGAGTGTGTCTCCCAGCACCTGTGCTGTCCTCTCTTCTTCCACAGGCTAGTTGTGGGTGCCCCACTGGAAACCAACGGCCACCAGAAGACAGGAGACATTTACAAGTGTCCTGTGATCCAGGGCAACTGCACCAAGCTCAACCTAGGTGAGTGGGCCCCGGCCTCATGCCTCTCCAGTGCAGGGTCCCTGGCACCTCCCTGCCGCTCCACAGGGTGACCCAGCTGATGTTACTCCCCCATTTTACAGATGAGGAAACTGAGACCAGACAGAGGGAGCAACTTACCCATAGTTGTATAAGTTTCCAGGGAGCAGCCAGGCCTACAATGTCCCCAATTCCACCCTTTCCCCCCATTAATTTGGGGAGAAAAATCACCTCCGGCCTTCCCTCTGGTGGTGAAATCCTAACAGCAACAGCTCACACCCTTGCACAGTAGACGGTGCTCACCATGTGCCAGCCCTGATTTAAAAGCAATGAGGCTATTTTCCCTCGCTGGATGCCGCTACACACACTTGAGATTGAACTGCTTGACAGCTGAGGGCCCGCCACGGTACAGAGCTCAGGAGGCTGGGAGAGGAGGGCCGCAGCGAGTCTGAGGCCAGCCTGGGCCTCCCTGGGGAGTGTGGTACAGGCTGAAACCGTGAGAGCCCAGAGGACGCGGCCGCCAGCTGTGGGTCTCATGTGCCGGAGGCGCCGCCGTTCACATCCGTCTACGCTGTGGATGGGGAGGTCCGAGCCCAGCACTGTGGGGCCCAAGCTCCACTGAGCAGACCGCACAGAGCAGAGCAGAGTCCCGGCTAATGGCTCCAGGCCCTGCTGCCTGGTCTCTGCTGTGTGTGCCTGGGCTGCACACGCCCTCTCTGGGCCTTGCCTTGCGCATGTGTGAAGTGACAAGGCCTCCTCTGTCTCCTCTGTCCCGAAGCTCTGTGGTAATACAGGTACAGAGGGAGCAGAAAGCCAGGGCTGTGCCGGGAGGGGTCAGTAGTGAGGATACAAACTACAAAACAGGCTCATTGCAGGTGAGGACAAATGCCAGAAGCCAGGCAGCTGGGGTGGAGGGGTAGGGAGTTCTCCCATGGCCAAGTGGCCAGGAAAAAGCAACTGAGCAGGTAGCACTGAGCAAAGGGAGGGGTCGGTGGGGGTAGAGCATGTGTAAAGACTCCAAGGTGGGACCAAGTTCGCTCTGTTGGGGAACATGGAAAGGGCTCTGTGGTTGGGGTAGGAGTGCAGGTGGCAGAGGCTGTGCCCAGGGCCCAGGCCACTCGCAGAAGGGCATGGACACAGAAGCAAACATTTAGTTTCGTCTGCTGCCCCAATTCCACAGAGGGGGCGGAGCCATACAACTCTGGACAGACTTTCTAAACTGGGGCAGAGGCCTGGGAGGCAGAGGGAACCAAAGTGAGCTGAGATGGAGGAAAATTATCTTTGTCTGAGGACTGGTTCTCACCCCATCTGGCACCAAGTCTGGGAAACCCAAGGCCATGGGTTCTGAGGGCCTCTGCAGGGCTGGCAGCACTGCCTGGGCCGCCTCCTCTCTCCAGGGAAAGCTAGGAGGGTGTCTGTCATTCACACCTGAGTATGAAAGAGTCTACCGCCATGGCTTTCTTCCTGCCTTGGATGGAGTCAGGGGTTTGAGTGAGGGCAGGGGCTGGGGAGGCAACCAGCGCATTCGACATGCAGGCTGCATTCATCCTCCATGCCTCACCTGTGGGAGGACAGAGAGAACGGCGCCTGTCGCTCACCCCAGCCCCAGGGGCTGTGCTGGACTCCAGGGAAGCCTTGTTGAAAACCGAGGGAACCCAGGGGGAGAAACATCAAACAGCCCCCCGCCAGCCTCAGGACGGCCCTGGGGCTGCTGTCCCCCGGCCCTGTGTCCCGAACCCCCACTTCACAGGTCTGCTCACCCACAAAGTAGAATGCAAATTATCTGGGTCAAGATTCCCAGGGTCCCCAGCAGGGAAGTCACGGTACATGCACACACAAATGCATGCGCTCACTCTCCTGGCGAATTGTAGCTCCGTTCCTTCCTTTTGGTGACCTGACAGAGTGATCCCAGAAACTTCAATTGAGGTCATTTCTCTGTGGTTCCAATCAGCCCCCTCCCCACCCCAGCCAGCTGCTGGCCTTGCTCCCAAATGTCCCTCTCGGCAGCCATGACACTTCCGGATGGGGCCTTGTCCCTGTAGGAGACACTTGTCCAGTGGCCTGCTTGTTACCTGTGACAAAGAATCCCTCAAGCACACATGCGCATTTTTCAAATGGGCAGAGAGAAAAAGACCAGGAAGTTTAGGAGCTGGGTGTAGAGGTACACACAGCCTCCGGGAGGCTGAGGCAGGAGGATGGCAAGATCGAACCTAGCCTAGGCAAGTTAGCAAGCCCCTGTCTTGAAAGAAAAACCAAAAGAGGGCTGGGGATGTAGCTAGTGTGAAGGCTGTGGGTTCAATCCCTGATATCACCACCACCACCAAAAAAATCCGAAAGACCCGAGTCTGTGAGTGCTAATGGGAGAAACTGGAGAAGCACTGATAGAAGAGTCACACAGGAAGCCCCACCCGGTGAGTGCCATGGGAGCGGTCCCGCCCGATGGCTGGTGGAGGAAGCTGGGCAGCAGGAGATGGAAAACTGGCCGCAGCTGCCCAGCTTCCCTGAGCCCTGCCTGTCGCCTCCCACGACCCATGAGGATGCGGCCGCGTCTTGGGACACCTGCGGGACGTGCGGGGGCCCCGGCAGAGGACGGGTGGGGGGCGCTCCTGACTGCTCCCCTCCACCCCAGGAAGGGTCACCCTGTCCAACGTGTCCGAGCGGAAGGACAACATGCGCCTGGGCCTGAGCCTCGCCACCAACCCCAAGGACAACAGCTTCCTGGTAAGAGCCTGCGCCCCAAACATTCATTCATTCAACAATCGGTTCCAAGCCCCCAAGGCGGTGCACCTAGGTCCAGCCGTGCACGGAGCTCCAGCCCCGCTCTGGTTGGTGGAGCGAGGGGAAGAAGTGGGTGTGGTCTGGGGCTCCACGCACAGGAAGGAACGGTGGAGGAGGGGCGGAGGCACAACCTGTGCCCGGCCACCGCACCGCAGTGACCCCTGCCTGTGGGAACGGGTGACATGTGGGGTTGAGAACTGGGGACTAGTGATTCCTAGAGCCGGGTGCAAGGAGGGTTCAGAGAAAAATTGCCCCAGAAAGCTCAGTAAAAAATACTATCTGAGCCAGGCGCGGTGGTGCACGCCTGTAATCCCAGCACTCTGGGAGGCTGAGGCAGGAGGACTGTTAAGTTTGAGCCCAGCCTGGGCAACTTAACAACTTAGTGAGACCATGTCTCAAAATAAAAAAATAAAATAAAATAAGGGCTCAGTGTGAAGGCCCCGGGTTCCAGTCCCAGCACAGCAAAGAACAAGAAAGGCACCAGTCGCTTCTAGCGGGGAGGGCTGGTGTCGGTCTTTGCTCCTGCCCAGCAGTCGGTTTCTCTGGCAGATGTGACTCCCGGGGTGTGGTGGCCCAAAGGCCAGGACCATACTGTGGCTAACGTCATGGATCTTGAGAACACGGTGGCCCTTCCAGGGAGGGTCGTGAGACGCCTCCTCATAGGTGCAGGCCGCTGTCCTTCATCATCCCAACCCAGGACAAAGCGGGACCCTGGCCTTGTCCATGCATACACCCTTCAGGGCTCGATCCCCATGCCCTTTCCCCTGGGGCTCCTTGTCACTGTCCTGCTACCTTAATGTCACCTACTTCACAGGTGGCATGAGGGTTTGACAGAGGCCTGTCTGGGTAGGTCTCTGCTTATAAATAGCAACTTTTGTTAGTTCATTCATTCACTCACTTATGAGTTCCATTCTGCCACCAATCTCCCATCCCTCTATTCATCTACCCATCCATCCATCCATTCATCTACCCATCTGTCCATCCATCCATCTACCCATCCATCCATCTAGTCATCTTCCCATCCATCCATTCATCTACCCATCTGTCCATCTATTCCTCTACCCATCCATCCATCCATTCATCTACCCATCCATTCATCCAGTCATCTACCCATCCATCCATCCAGTCATCTACCCATCTGTCCATCCATCCATCTACCCATCCATCCGTTCATCTACCCATCTATCCATCCATTCATCTACCCATCTGTCCATCCATTCATCTACCTATCCATCCATCCATCTACCCATCCATCCATTCAGTCATCTACCCATCTGTCCATCCATCCATCCATCCATCCATCCATCCATCCATCTACATATCCATCCATCCAGTCATCTACCCATTCATCCATCCATCTATTCATCTATCCATCCATCCATCCATTCATCTACCCATCCATCCATCCATTCATCCACCCATCCATCCATGCAACAAGCCACCCACTCATCCTCCCATTCAGTCATCTCTTTCTACCCATTCCTCCTGTATCCACCCATCATCCATCTGTCCATCCATTCATCATCCACCCATTCACCCACCCATTCATCATCCATCCACCCATTCGTCATCCACCATCTATGCATTTATCCTTCTACACATCTAGCTATCCATTCAGTTGTCCCTCTTCCTATTCACCCCTTCTTCAATCCATCCACCACCCTTCATCATCCATCCACCCATTCGTCATCCACCATCTATGCATTTATCCTTCTACACATCTAGCTATCCATTCAGTTGTCCCTCTTCCTATTCACCCCTTCTTCAATCCATCCACCACCCTTCATCATCCATCCACCCATCATCTTTCTATCCATCTATCCACCCTGCGATTCTTTATTCCCTCCATAGTTCCAAAAATAATTCACAGCAGCTTCAGCAAAATACACAGATAAAACAGCATCTTTAATATACAACTTTTTAAAAGCAGAAAGCTAAGCCAGGTGTGGTGGCGCATGCCTGTTACCCCAGCACTCAGGAGGCTGAGGCAGAAGGATCACTGTGAGTTTGAGGCCAGTCTGGGCTACATAGTGAGTCCAGGACAGCCTGAATTACACTTTTCTCAAAAAAAAATTAAGGAAAGGTTTGGGAGAATAATTACTCCCCCAAACCACAGGCAATTACAGCATGCAGTTTAGCCCGGGGGTTCTGATGGCAGGACTGACAGACAAGCATAGAGCTGGGCTTTCACTTCCAAGTCCCTTGCCTTGGAGAGAAACCCCTCGCCCCATCCTTCGGGGAGGGCCGGATGACAGCCACCTTGGTGGCTAATGTCATAGACAGAGAGGGACATTCTCTTCTTTCTCTAGTAAGAGTCCCCGCAAGTTGTTGGGACACAGTCAGGGAAGACTGCCCAGTAACGACCTTCAGGCGACCTCTGCAGACCTCGGAGCCAGTTAGTGACCCAAGAGGGCTGTCGCGGAGCCTGCGGGGCAGGGCGGTGGGCAGGGGAGGGGCAAGTCACGGCCTAAGGCGCAAAGGAGGAGGATTCCAAACCTGTTGTCCTTATTCCACCCGAGACCGAGAGAGGACGGGGGACGGAGACCCTGTCAGCCCTGTGACCCGGCACTCAGGCAGGGCAGTCTGCCTTGGTCACGCCGCGGGGCGCCGGGTCCTGACCCTCTGAGCCCCGCCCTCGCGCTGTGCTTCTCAGGCCTGCAGCCCGCTCTGGTCTCACGAATGCGGCAGCTCCTACTACACCACCGGGATGTGCTCCAGAGTCAACGCCAACTTCCGGTTCTCCAAGACGGTGGCGCCAGCCCTCCAGAGTAAGTGGCTTCAGACCTGCAGGCCCAGGCTGGGCAAGGGCAGTCCAGAGGCTTGGGCTCTGACCACGGCTGTCCTGTGATGTCCAGGAAGCCCTGCCCCAGCCCTCTGGATAATCAGGGAGGTCACTGCCCCTGGCTGGGCCTCCCCCAAATGGCCTAAGGCTATCAGGTCTGCCCTGGCATCAGGGGGTGCTCAGCACAAAAACCCTGAGCATAGAAGCAGTCGCCAAGCCACCGTGTACAGCAGCCAAACTGTACATGGCTCCATTCTGAAAGAGCCACTCACTTAGACTACAGTGTGAATGGTGCTCCTTGAAGTTGTGCAGTGCAGGATCCCTGTAGGACGGCTAAGAACAGAAATAGCCTTAGTAATCCTTATCCCAGTTCAGTGCTCGAGGGCCTCAGGTTGCTCAGCCCAGCTTGCCCTGTGGCTGATGGAACACAACCCCCTCCACCCGCAAGAAAACCTGGGGAGTTAGAGTCAGGCTTTGCCTCGGGAAAGCCAGACTTTTGGCCCTGAGCCTCAGTCTCCTCCGGGCTGAATACCCAGCAGCTGGGGCCGCTTTATGAGAGGAAAGGGATTAGCGCCTCTGGCTGCCTGCAGCCACTCCGCAAACAATAGCTCAGTCAGCAGGCAGAGGCGGAGCCTTGGGGAGGGGAGGACGCACCCGGCCAGCAGGGGCTGGGAGGTGGGGGTGGGGCGTTGGCGCCCAGGGGAGGTCAGGGCACCTCGGTGCCCTCTAGGGGGCGTCACAACCCAAGAGCTGCTGTCCACTCCCGGCCGAGATGTAACAAGGCCAGCCTCCGGGCACCTCTGCCGTGGAGGCCTCCAGACCTGGCTGACCCGCAGCCCCGCCCTGGCCGCTTAGCACCTGCGGGCTCCAGGGTGGCCGCTATAGGTCCTAACCCATGTTCCCCAAGGGAGGATTCCACCACGGCGTTTTTAATTTTTATTTTTCGGAGTCCCTATGTGCAGTACCTGATGATTACCGTACATTCCTCCTGAGAGCCGGTGCGTGCGCACAGCACCTTCAGTTCTTCCCATCTTCTTACCGTCCCCGACCCCTCTTCCCTCCACCTCTCCATCCCCTGCCCATTTGTGAAGGAGCTATCTCCGCGTTTTCTTTTTGTGTGCTCTGTTTATAGTTTGGGTTTCTCCTGTAAGAGAAAGCATGTGATATTCAAGCTGGTGTGTCTGGTTTATCTCACTGAGCATTATGCTCTCACCGTGCGTATCCATTTTCTGACAAATGACTCACATTTTTCTTCTTTATGGCAGAGTAGTACTCCACTGGGTGTGCATGCTCTTTTCTCTGTTCATCTGCTGATGGACGGAGAAGCCACTTCCGGGATTTACCTGTTACAAGCTGTGCTGCTATAAACACGGGGCTGTGTGGGTCACTCTCATGTGGTGTCTTTAACTCTGCTGGGAAGATATCTCCTAGGGGACTAGCTAGGTCCAAAGCAATGTCTGTCTTTAGCTTTTTGAGGACTCCTTATACTCAGGCCCAAAGGCAGATTCTCCCCAAGATACCTTTTCTAAAAACTGAAATTTCAAAAATAAATAATTAAAATTATAAGAAAGAAATCAATGATAATGAATTCGTTCTGATATCAAAAATGGTTGAAACTGTAAAAGAATCCCAGACCCCACGCACAGATCCAAGGAGCTGGTCTCGGTCCGCAGTGCGGCCATCTGTACCAGGCAGGGCTCTGGCACTGGCAAAGGCCAAGTCTGTGGGGCTCAGGCAGGCACCCACACGCTGCACCCAGCCTGAAGTTGCAAGGGCTGAGTGTCCGGGTGACGCAAATGCCCCATGATGCCCCCACAAAACGCCGAGCCCCTCAGGCCCCAGAGTTCCGGCCCACCCACCCCACTCAGCCCGACAGCGCGGAGCCAGGCACCGGCGGCCTTCACAACACAAGGACAACAGTGGCCAGCGCCAGCACTGATGTGAGGTAGACTTTATAACACTGTGAAAATTCACCAGTAAAAATAAGCAGATGTCCAGCTGAAAAGCGCGTGCCCCGTTCCAGCGCGGCCAGCTGTCGGCAAAGAGTGCTTAGATTTTTAAGAGGTTGTTCTTTTTCACATTTGTTATTCTCCTTGCTGATTTTTAGGACTCCTTTCCATTTAGTATGAATATTATAAGAATATAAAGAAAGTGTTACATTCAGAGGCGGAGATAAAGACCTGGAGCGCAATCCCATGTCACAGCTGTGTAAAGTCAGGGCTTTGCTTATAAAAAAATGAAAAAGTAGGATCAGCCAAGACGTCCTGGGCCATTGCTTTGTGCACAGCCCTATAGAATCGTGTCCTTCTTGTCTCCTACTTACGGTGAAGCCTCTCTAAAGCAGAGAAAACTGGGGCTGAGACCTTAAGTGACTCCCCCAGGTCACAAAGCCAGGGAGTAGCAAGGCCAGGAGTCAAGCAGTCTAAGGCCAAATCCACATTCCTGGCCCTGACACTGTACCTCTGTCCTAAAAAATGAAATCCACAGTTTGGGCTGCAAGGGAAGGATAAGAGGATGAGGATCTAGCTTGGGCAGGGCCAGCTGCCTCGGGAGCAGGGACCCTCAGCGGGGTCAGCCCCTGATCCAGAGCAGAGCTGTCCGGGCTTCAGTGAGGTTGGTTCAAACGATCCACAGAGCAATGGGACACAGCCAGGAACTCTCAGCTCTTTACTCCCTGTCGCCTGAACAAATGCCCAGCTCAGGGAACGCACTCACGCATGCAGTCATTTTTCTATCGTCCTTTGAAAATGACAAAATCGCAGACTGGCAGACCCTGGCTCCTTGGGTGGCCATGATCATGTCCCGCCTTCCCAGGGTGCCAGACCTACATGGACATCGTCATTGTCCTGGATGGCTCCAACAGCATCTACCCCTGGGTGGAGGTCCAGCACTTCCTCATCAACATCCTGAAGAAGTTTTACATCGGCCCAGGGCAGATCCAGGTGAGCTGTCGGTCAGAGGTCGCCGCTGCCCCCTCGGAAGAGAACCCCTGAGCCATGGCCCCGGCTGTGCTGGGAGGTCGGGAGGCATCTTGGCATGCTTAAGGGTGTGTAGGGGAAAGGCTGAGGCCCCGAGGCACCCATCCCTGGCAGACACGTGGAGGATAGTTTGGGGAGGCCTCATTTTCTAGGTTAGTCACTTTATGATGTCAAGTCACTCTAAGAAATGACTTTTAACAAGCAGAGCTTTTAAAAAGGGAGCAGAGTTTCTCATGAAGTGATGGGTTCCCCCTACCCTGGAAGGCCATCTTTTAGGGTGTCGGGGATGACCACCCAGTATCTGAAGGACACTTGCCCCAAGGCAACCCCGTAGGCCCACTCCATGGTAACATTTTTTGTTGGATCCCTGCCACAGGTCATTAAGGGTTTTTGTTTATTAGGAAAGCTATTAGTAGCCGGGCGTGGTAGCGCACGCCTGTAATCCCAGCACTCGGGAGGCTGAGGCAGGAGGATCTTTGTGAGTTCGAGACCAGCCTGGACTATAAAGTGAGCTTAAGGCCAGCTTGAACTGCATAGTGAGACACTGTCTCAAAAAGCCAAAAAAAAAAAAGGAAAACTTGTTGTTTTATCAACCTTGGGGATGGCAGAACCTCTTCACCAAGACCCTTCACCCACTCTGCTCCTGATATTTTGAACTTCTATGCTCTACTCAATAAGATACATAATCTATGGGGCCTTCCCCTAAATCCCAGTCTCTACTCTGTATGCACCCCCCATTCATAGGGCCATCTGTTTATTCCAGAACTTTCCAGAACCTTCTTCCTTGGGCTCTTAGTTACTTCTTGGGAAAGATGACTCCTTACTCCTGAACCGCCACAGCCGTACGTCTAAGTTTCAGGAAGGAGGACGTTCTTTTTCCTTCTCCTCTGCCCTTCAGGTTGGAGTGGTTCAGTATGGAGAAGACGTGGTCCATGAGTTTCACCTCAACGACTACAGGTCTGTCAAGGATGTGGTGGAAGCTGCCAGTCACATAGAGCAGAGAGGAGGAACAGAGACCCGGACAGCATTTGGCATTGAATTTGCTCGGTAAAAAAAAAAAAAGAGAGAGAGATCTCAAATACTGTTTTAGTTACGTACTGCTGCGTAACAAACTACCCCAAATGTAGTGTCTTGAAAAAATGTTTTATTAATTCCTCAAAGTTCTAGGGGTTGGCTGGGCCCAGCTATCAGGCCTGTCTTGGGTTCTCTCCTGTGGCATCAGTCTGTGTCACCTGGCGCTGGTGTCACTTGAAGGTTCCACTGGGCTGGACATCCAAGACGGCACGCTCACATGACCAGCTGTTGTGGCAGGGTGCTAAGGGGGTGCCCAGTGGACCTGGGTGGACGTGGCCATGTGGCTTGTTTTGCTCATGTCGTGATACCCGAAGGGGACTTGTCCCAAGAGCAAGCTTCCCCAGAGACCCAGGCAGGACCTGGGAGGCTGCCTGTGCCCTAGCCTAGAAGGCCCAGCCTGTGACATCCTACTGGTGGAACAAGTTACTAAGGCCAAGCCAGGTTTGCGGGGGAGAGAATTTGTGCCTTTTGATGGCAGAACAACAAGGTCACCTTGCAAAAGGGCATTGGGAAGATATTATTCCGGCCCACTTTGGAAAACACATTCTGCCACAGATACACTATAAAAGTACAGGCCTCGTAAAGACAGAACCTCTCTGTGGAAGAAACAGTGAAATCGAACATCTGAAAGTGCAGAGACAGGCTTCTGAGAACTCACACCAGAACTCGCTCATACAGATGAGCGCTATCTCTAGGTGCTGTCCCCCCTGAAGGCCATGTGTCATTCCCGTAACACTGTCGTTGCTTTCAACTCTCGACTGACGCTGGGGAAGTTAGCCAAACTCAAAGGAAATTCCTCAAGGTCTCCTCAGCCAAGGCCCGGATGCTTAAGTCAACTCTCCCAAAGGCATTTAGATTTTAAACATCTAAACTTCACATGCATGCGTGTGAGTTCTCCTGGAGACCACAGCGCTATGAACTTACCGTCCCACCTCATTCAGCATTAGGTGATCTGTTGAACAAAATCCCACCCGCAGTGTAGGAGCCACTTAGCTGTACCATGATTTCATGTGGTCAAAAGATGAAGATCTTTCCAACCCCACAACTCTTTATGATTAAGTCACTGCTCAGCGAGTGTATTTCTGTTTGCTGATAACACTCCCTCGAGCTTCTCCTGGGTGAGCACTCATTCCTCGGTGGGAGGATAGCTCTGGTGCTTGTCTCAGAGGAACTGGCCGTTCTGCTGTGGGGCCACCATGGGGCGCAGACCTGAGACCCCAGCTGGCCCTTGCGAAGCAGCTGAGCGACAAAAGAATCTCGTCACCACCACTGTGACTTTGCCAGAGGGAAGCGAGCTGACTCATACGGGGATGAAACCCTCTATTTTGGTCTCATTTTGCAGCCCACCAACCTCGGGTTGATTCCGCTGGTGTGACTCACCAGGTAGTTTACACCACCCCTGACTCACACGCACTGCTGGGGCTGCAGGTGAAGTTTGACATCCTGACCTTCCAAGTGCATATCCCACAATTGCTCTTTTATTTTTTTGTCCTGAGGATTGAACCCAGGGCGCTCTCCCTGAGTCACCAGGTTGCCCAAGCTGGCCTTGAACTTTGGATCCTCCTGCCTCAGCCTCTCAGAGTGCCGGAATTACAGGCTTGTGCCACTACTCCCAACTCTGCTGGTGCCTTTTAAAGTGAAAAGTTTTCTCCCTTCTCTTGTTATTCAGGATGAGTTTTATTCTTTTTTCTGTGAACCTCCTAAAGGGCAAAGATCCAGGCCAAAGGATTGGGTGGGTACGAAGATGGTAACCTGTGGCCTTGGCCTTGGTCTTCCAGCCCCCAGACCAACAGAGGAGCTCTAAGGGCTGTTAATCCTGACCCTAACTTGGTGGGGATTGGACAAGAAGGTGCCCAGCGGGCTGGGCTTCCTCTGAGACAAGTCAGAGCCAGGCAGGTGCCAAGCAGTACAGACGTGGCACCGTGACACACTCTGCCCGTCCACGGCTCACTCTGGTTTCTACCTTGGTGAAATCTCTTGTGAATACAAAGCTCTCACTACTCCCCAGGACTTGATAATCTCACATACTCAGGAACAAAGCCGAGTCCCTTTACCCAACACAGAACCCCGGCAGAAAATCTGGTGCTCCTGCTGACCACTGCACTATCACAGGTGCATAAACATTCACACCGCCCCGCTGGTGGGAAACGTGAGCCTGAAATTTTCCTTTGCTGTATAACAGCCGATCTTCCCCTGCCATGTGTCTTTCTGTGTGGAGCTTTCTCGCTGGGCCTGACCCTTCAGAGAGGTCAGGAAAGTGTCTAGAACCTGGATCGGCCCTCAGGCCACAGCTTGTGCTGAAATTAGAGGGTTTTTCTAGGTGCACACCTCCAGGATGTCAGAAGCATTGCTAAGACCATAGCAGACGGCTTTTCCTCTTGGCTGGTGGTGCAAGGAATCCTGAGCTAACTTTGTCCAGGTCTCATGAATTCCTCGACACCCAAATCACCCAGCAGCTCCCCAGCAGACCCTAGCACAAGAGGCACCTCCACCCCCAGCCTTCTGGTCTTACCGAATCTTACAAATCTGAGGCGTCCTTCCGCCTCAGCACAGGTTGGACCCTCGAGCAGTCACCCTGGAGTCTAAGAGTCCCGTTTAGTTTGGGATCCTTTTTGGAAATTCAAGCTGCTGAGCCCAACTCTTGGAGGAGACTGCGCCTGTCCTTCTCAGAGCCCAAGGCCTGAAGAGTGTTGGCCACCGTACAAAAGCTTCCCATGCTTGGAAGACCCGGCACCAGCCCTCAGGGCTCCGTTAGCAGGTTGGGTGTGACTGGGCCCACCCTGCGTCCTCTGGGCTCGGTGGCCCAGCAAATGGGCTGCACTCAGGTTCTGGGTGATGAAAACACGGTAAAAAGTAAGAGAAATATTTTCTGTGAATTTGATATTGAATATTCCCCAAAATGGAAGCACGCAGCTCCAGTGAGAGAAACCAGCACTGTCGGGCTTCCTGACACCCAGGAACGGCCAGCTGTGTGCTCCTTCAGTCACCTTGCCCCTCGCCTTCCTGGTCCTTAGCAAATGGTATGCAACTTTTAAAAGCTACAAACACCCAGGCCAGCACCTCCAGCCCCAAGAGTCTGATCTCAATATTTCTTTTAAACTCCCCCAAGAGATCCTAACATGCAACTGGGGTTGCGAGGCACTAATTTAGCTGCCCTAAAGGTCACTACCTGCCTCCAAACTCTCTTCTCATGTCCTTCTCATCCCCCCTGCCTGCCCAAAACAACAAGATCAGGGCTCCAAAGGGGCTTTTTAACGTCACTTTAAAAGTTTGCAGAAGCCAGGCATGGTGGCACACACTTCTTCTCCTAGCACTTGGGAGGCTGAGGCGGGAGGATCAGCACAAGTTCAAGGCCAGCCTGAACTACATAGCAAGATGCTGCCTCAGAAAACCAAAATAAACTAAAACATGCAGATCCAAGCAGCTGGGGAAAGAGCAACCTGGGTGTCACCACTGCTTCGGCTTTCACCCAAGCTCCCAAGGTGTTGGCCTGCCCTGTTGCCCAAGGGACCCAGCTGTGGCTTCTGGGGCGACCCCGCCCTCACCTCTCCCGTGACCGGCTCCTACCCTGGGTTCCAGCTCCGAGGCCTTCCAGAAGGGCGGGAGGAAAGGGGCCAAGAAGGTGATGATCGTCATCACGGACGGCGAGTCCCACGACAGCCCCGACCTGGAGAGGGTGATCCAGCAGAGCGAGAGGGACAACGTGACGAGATACGCTGTGGCCGTAAGTCCTGTCCCCGCGCCCCCACCACCGGCTGCTGGCTGCTCCCAGAGGCCACGGAGCCCTGGCGACTCCAGGGCCGTCTTCCCAGCCTGACAAGGCTCCAGGGCCTCAGAGGGGCCTCTCGTTCAGCCTCTTCTACAGGACAAGGTTAGACCCTGCTGTGGGGCTGGTGACACAGCTCAGTGGCACGGTGCCTGCCTGGCAAGCGCGAGGTCATGAGTTCAATTCCCAGTACCACACACACACACACACACAAAAGACCCTGCTTTAGTGCTAATTGGGCCTGGCCTTAACAATTGCGGGCTTATTTTTTCCTTCCTTTACCAGGAAGTCTCAGAAATCTCAAAAGCTGGAAAACACCCCTAAGCCTCACAGCTCCCAGAACCCCAGGAGCCTTGTGCTGCCCCTGCAAGAGAATCTATTGCAGGCCGCAGAGGGGCATCTCAAGGGCTGCTCCTGGCCGCAGCCCACCGGAGCCCCCCAGGTCAAGGGTCTTGGGGTGTCAGGGGGCGAGGAGGGCTGCGTCATGTCCTGCTTTGCCGTCCCTGCCTGTTTCCTGCTAGGTCCTGGGCTACTACAACCGCAGGGGCATCAATCCAGAAACTTTTCTAAATGAAATCAAATACATCGCCAGCGACCCTGATGACAAGCACTTCTTCAATGTCACCGACGAGGCGGCCCTAAAGGACATCGTCGATGCCCTGGGGGAAAGGATCTTCAGCCTGGAAGGTGAGCTTTATGGGCCACTGCAAGCCTGAGCTTATGGAAGACAGACTCCACGGAGGGAGATCCAAGCCCGCAAAGCGGAAGTGCTTAGCAAGAGTCCTCATTTAGTTAAAATGTCAACAACTGGGTGTGGCTTCCGCTTTATGAACAGCCCCAAAAGACGGTGGCACCCATAGGCTCTGCATTCTACTCCACAGGAAGCTGGGCCCCCACACCTAGCAAGTGGCGGGCTTTGAACCAGGGCTGCCAGATTTGGCGGATATAAAATACAGTGCTTGTGAGCAGGATACGGTGGCACGTGCCTGTGACCCCAGCACTCCCAGAAGAGCCTGGGCTACATAGTGAGCTCAAGGCCAGCCTAACTGCATAACAAGACCCTGTCTCAAAAAAAGAAAACAAAAATGCTTGTGACAGACTTATACTGAAATGTTATGCATTACAGGCTGGGGATATAGCTCAGTGGCATAAGCGCCTGGCTGGCAAGCGCAAGGTCGTGAGTTCAATTCCCGGTACCACAAAAAAAAGAAATATTATGCATTGTTTATCTGAAGTTCAGATTTCACCGCGTACCCTGTATTTTCTCTGGCACCTAGTTTGAGCCTCCTGGTTCTAGTTCCGTATCCCAGATCACTGGGTCCCCATGTGCTACTGCGTCTTGGCTCACCAGACTGGCCTTGTGGGGTACCTTCCCATTGACTCGCTCTGTGATTCAAGCCCCATTTTGCTGTGCACGGATCTCATGTGCACCATGCACTGCTATCTCAGCTGCTTCCAACCTGGGCTTTGAGCCTGTGGGAGGGTTATAAAAAGATATAGGAGACAGGGTCCCAGAGCCCAAGAAGTCTGCTTGCATGGGAAATAACACCCAGGTGGAGACTAGCATGGCTCTTGGATAGATTGATAGATGAAGACACAGGGTGAGCTTTGACACCCACATCAGAGCTCAAATATCAAAAGCAACACCCCTCTCCCTAAATGGTGGCCTTGGGTGACCAGAGCATCCTTCCAGTGGGCCCTGCTTTGGGCACCCGTGGGGTTCCCTGTGGGGAACTGCGGGGTGACGGGTCTCCCTCCTGAGGAGTGCTTGGTGTTCAGAGCTCTCCGCAGGCAGCCGGAACCAGAACTGGTACATAAGAGGGATGAACAAAGCGTGAGTTCTCTCTCTCCAAACATGTCCGCTGTCCGGTGCAGTCTCTTGATCCCCCCACTTCCGTGGTCATTGCGGAGCCGATTCCCTGTAACCTGGCTCGTCCAGGCCCCTTCAGAAGTGAGCGACCACTCACCGTGCTACCTGGAAAGCACCCGGGGACAAGGGCAGGGGATGCTGATGGCCTGCAGGCCTCAGCCTCAGGGCCCCCTCAAAGGAACCCCCAACTGTCCCCAGAGACGCGCCAGGAAGTGGAAGCGTGCGCGGAGTGCTGCCCGGAGCTAGGCCGCGCGGCACGGGGCTAACACCACGTGGCACGGGGCTAACGCCACGCCATCTCTGCCCCTGCTTTAGGCACCAACAAGAACGAAACCTCCTTTGGGCTGGAGATGTCGCAGACGGGCTTCTCCTCGCACGTGGTGGAGGTAAGGGGTGCCGCGCCGCTCTCCCTCTGCCTCTCGAGTGCGCCCTCTTGCCCTCCCCAGCACCCCTGGCTGGCATAGTCACCCCCTCCTGGAGGACTATGCACCCTCTCCTTCGCTCTTGCCTGGGCTCTGTGCCTCCAGCATCTCCTGTGGGCGGGAAAAGCAAAGTCAAGATCCGCACCTTATTTATATCATCTGTCCCGGCCTCTTCAGAAGTGACAGCGAAGCCCCTAGTCCCACCCGAGGGACACTGTGCAGGACGCTCGTGGGGACGTTTCCCTCCGGGAGCAGGGTCCTCTTCACTCCACAAAGCCTGGTGCAAAAGCTAGCTCTGCGGGCGTGAGAGGCAACTGCACGCACCTCTGCAGCGCAGTGCCCGAGGCGGCCTGGCGCAGCCCCGCGTCCGTGCTGGGAGGGTGTTCAGGGGCCCCAGCTCTGGGAGATGGATGCATGGACCTCACCCCGCATGTGCACGCACAGCGCTGGATTGCAGGGCTCCCAGTGGCCCGGCCCCAGAGGGAGGGACCCCGGTTTCGTGTCTACCCTGGTGCCTGAGGTTACTGGCCCATCCCCCCACCGAGATGTCCTTAGCCTGTGAATACACAGGGCAGGAGTCCTTGTTCCCAGGGTACAGATAAAGACACCGAGCACAGGGAGGTTAAGTGACCCACCGGAGGAAGATTACCGAGAGAAACACGAGCCCCCGCCATCCCTTCTGTACCAAGCAGCTGCTCCCCGAGACAGCGGAGAACTCAGGGGCTCTGAGTCAGAACCTAGACTGCAGCGAGGTGCACACATGCCATGCAGCAGACAGGTGGACAGGAGCGTGACTCGGACTCGTGTTCCTGAGCTGCGTCTGGACACGCGCATGTGTCAAGTCCTGAACACAGCAAGATGCAAACACAGCTGCCCTGGCGCAGAAACGGCCCAGGGCCTGCGCACCAGGCAATCCCTGCACCTATTTCCTGCTCCCGGGAACCCTTCAAGGTCTGTGCATGGTGACAGCTACCTGGTCTGAGTGGGCCGGACCTGCCAGGCTTTCCAGCGCCTTCTCTGTGCTGGGACCCGTGCTGGGCACGGGAAGAGCGGTGTTGGTGCCCCAGGCTCAGGAGCACACAGTCCCAGCGTGGGGAGGTGGGCACAGGGAGGCGAGAGCATCCCCTTGCATGAGGTGGGACGGCGAGTCCTGTGCTCTGGCAGGACGGGCCCTGCCCCCAAACTCTGGCGTCCTGGTTGCTTAGAAAATGCAACGAGGAAATGCAATGTGATGCAACCAGCACTTGTCAAATGCAACAAAAGCATGCAAAGGCGCTGATTCTTGCCGCCAAGAGTCCGGATCAGCAGTGCTCCGTTCCAAGAGCAGGGTCGAAGAAAACCTCCCGAAAGCAAAGGAGCGGCACTGTGGCGGCGAGCTGCCGGGCACTGTGGCCGGCCGTGAGGTTGCTGTCTTAGAGCACAGAGGCTGCGGCCATCACGCTGGCCATCCCGTCCCCAGGAGCCGGGTGCCTCAGCTCTCAGAGACCCTGAGCCAAGGGGGGTCCCTGTTCCCAGGGAGACTTAGGTCCCTCCTCCAGATGTGGGCACTGATGGCCTCTGGCAGCTGCTACCTGCAAATGTGCCAGAGCCGCAGGCTTCCTGGGTCTATTCGGTGACAGGAGAAGAAAACGTTTCCACCCTGAGGGAGGCGCCTCCATCGAACTTTCCCGCAGAGCAGAGGAAAGGCCGGGTTTCTCATCACGTCCTTTCCAGCAAGGGTCAAAGCAGAAAAGAGGACCAGAGCCAGGTGGAGAGTGGACCCCAAGACATCACCTGGCCACTGCAGAGCCCACGGCCACAGGCCACAGGATGATGACAGAAGCTCAGAGCCACAAGCAGTCACAAACTCGTCTTTTTTTTGTTTTGGGTTTTTTTTTTTTTTGGTACCAGGAATCAAACTCAACAAACTCTAGTCTTGATGCAGGGAAAAGAGCGCATTTTCCAAGAATTACCATCACGAAGGCTAACTCTGGAGTCCCGGTCAAGCTTTGGAATAGATTTTGAAGCCAACGGTTTCACCAACGTTTGGAAATGAACGCAAAAGTCACTAAGAGCGGGGGCAGCTCTACTGTGCTGGCTGCCTGCAGAGGTAGGTGATGAGCTCCCTGTGAACTGGGTAATCAAGAAGAGGCTTTATGACTCTGCTAGAAAGCTTGCAGGAAGGAGCCCTCCCTCCAAAAGGGAAGTAGACGGAGGAACCTGTAACTCCGGGGCCTGCAGGCTGGATGCAAAGGCAGGAAGAGGACTGCAAATAAACAGTGCCCACTGGCCATGGCTGGGCTCCGCAGCAGGCGTTGACGTCGACCCTCCTACCCCAAAGTCCGTAAATCTGCCCCAACACCACAAGTTTACAGAAGGAAGCAGTAATTTTGTAAGAGTGGAGCTTGTCTACAATAAAACCTTGGCCACCCGCCAAACTGGAAAGATCATTTTTCTTTCTCTCTGATGTAAGGGTGTGGTCTCCCTTCCTGCATGTCATGCCCAATGGGATCACCCTGTGCAGGTTCAGAGCAGGCCAAGGTCAAGGGCCTCCGTATTCCCTGGCCAGCCTCGCAACCCCGCCTGGGCCTTTCCGCAGGCCCTGCTGGGTATGGGTAGTGAAGGCTGCTGGTCATTATCAAAGGTCCTCCAAAGTTGGAGCCCCAGTAGTGTGATTTTTCCTATGAGTTCTGCATTTGCATTAGTCTCACACATCTGATTTAATAAAAAAGAAGACCTACCTGGGCTCAGTGATGCCCAGCTATAATTGCAGCTACTCAAGAGGCTGAGACAGGAGGATTTCAAGTTCAAGCCCACCCTCCTTCATAAGGACCGCCAATCCCACCTCCACCTGGCCCCACGGCAGAGCCTGGCAGAAGCCAAGATAAGTGGAAGGCAGGGCTACTGGTGTCTGTGTCCTATCCTAACCCCATTGCTGCCCAGCTGTGTGGGCTCAGGCAAACCACTTAACCTCTCTGAACTTCAGACTTTGTGAAGATGTCTGAGAAATATCTGTGGAAATAAGGGGTATTTCCATAAGGTTTGGGGCCGAAGGTTCATTTTGGGACTTACAATAAATCAAATAGGTTTTTGTTGAAATCTTTTCCTAACCCTGCTATGCATCCACCCCTCCCTCAGCTGGTCCCTCTCCTGAGACCCCCAAAATAGCCTGTCCTTTACCCAGTCAGCCCATCAGAGTCTTCTTTCCCTGCACCCTCAGTCTCCCCCGGATCAAGGAAAGGGACCAGGACCAGGTACAAAGAGAGTACCCCTCTACCCCAGGCCAGGGAGTCTCACCCTGGGCCCTGGCGGTGCTTCCGGACCCTGGCACACATCACGGGCCAAACCTAGCCTGGCCGGAAGGCACTGCCCAGGACTGTGCTGCCTGGCTTGGGACATGGCCTGGCATAGGCTTAGGGGATATGGTCAGAGAGGGTAAGGGACTTGCCCAAGGGCACACAGCAAGTCAAATGCTGAGCTGGGATTTTGATCGGGGATTTGAGTTGAATAAACGAGAAAAACACCCTCAAGTTCCTCAAAGTCCTGTCTGGATGCAGCTTCCAGTTTTGCTCCTGTCCCTCATCTTATGCCATTTTGTCCCCCAGAGCTGGGAGGTCTTTTCCAAGAGGGGGTTTCCAAGGGTGGGCCAGGGACAGCCGCATGGCAGCAGAGGGTGCTGGGAGAAGTGGGGACGTGAAGGCCACCGGGGGAACCTCAGGCTGTCACAATCTCCTAGCCAGGGGACCCCAGCACTGGGTGAGGGGGGCAAAATGTGGAAGAGCCGGGCGGGGGAAGCCAGGCATACGGCCGGCTGGGAGCCACGCAGCTGGGCATCCTGCGCGCCATGCCGTGGGCTGTTACAGGCCCCCTCAGGATGGCCCCATGACCTCTCAGTCTTACTGTACAGTATATTGCAGCTCCCGGACACACTGTTCCCTAGCTGGCGTCCCTTAGCCTCTCAGCCTCAGCAGCTGCTTTCTCTGGCCTACCCCAGGGAGCTGGCCTTTCTGTTTTTTGGGTTTTTTTTGTTTTTGTTTTTCTCCGGTACCGGGAACCGAACTCACGACCTTGCGCTTGCCAGGCAGGCACTTTGCCGCTGAGCTAAATCCCCAGCCCCAAGAGCTGGCCTTTCTGAACCCTTTGAAAGATCAGCTTTGCCCAGGAACCAGCAAGGCACAGTGACATCACCTGCTATGCTTTAAAAGCTCAACTCCGGACTACAGACCCGCTGCCACATCCCTAGATGGCCAGGGTGACCCCAGGGACTCTGGTAGCCCTGCTAACTCACACCCTTGGGTCTTCCCATGCCCCACTATTTTGTGGGTTTTTATGGTGGGATGGTAGAGGGGCAGGGGCAGGGATAGGCCAGGAGCAAAGGGACCCAGACTTCAGGAAATGCCCATGGACTCAGAAACATAGAAATGCCCTCTTCCTGGAAGGTAGAATGAGGCCTTCCAAACCCTAGGAAAGAAGCCCCAGCCCCAGGGGTGCTGGCTGTCCCAGATGTGGCCCTGCCTACCTGTCTAGCCTCATTTCTAGCCACTCTGATCCCTCACTCCAAGATCCAGCCCCACCCAACAGCTTTCAGTTCCTGGAAAGCAAAAGCTCTGACCTCTTGCAGCCTCAGGGCCTTTGCACAAGCTGCTCCTGGCCCTTTCGCTTCCCTTCATCCCCACTACCCTCTGGCCCAACCCAGCATTCAGTGGCTAGGGAAACATCACTTCCTCTCCACAGCCTCCTGACCCCCAGCCCAAGCCGAATGACTGTGGCTCCCTGTGGCGGCATTTGCCACGGTTTGCACCTGCGTGTTTCCCTGAACACTTGTTTAGTATCTTTGAGCTCTGTGAGGAGGGGACAATTGACCCATATACATTTATGGGGTGCAGTATGGCATTTAGGGACACATGTATAGGGTGCGGGGATCGGAGCAGGATTTGCACAGGAGGGCAACTCAGACACCGAGAGGAATTCTGAAGGTGGTCACAAGAAAGGGGGTGACACCCTAAAGGGTTTTGAAGCCCAAGCAGGAGGCAGGTTTGGTCTTGGATTTGGAGTTTACCCTAAAGCAGTGATGGTGAACCTTTTAGAGCGTTCAATGATAGCAAGCAACCGGCTGGGTCACGCGTGGCTTAGTCTCACCACTACTGTCTAGAATGTCCTGTTTTTCTAAATCCCCACCCTGGGGACCCAGTGGTGGACTGTTTGTGCTGAGGGTGGGCTGGGGCAGCTCGGTGTCCGTGGCTCACACAAAGCCTAGCGTCCCTGCAGGGAGTGAGCTTGCTCCACGGTGAACAGCGGAGGCCGTGGCTGGCGGAGGCTTCCCCAGTTGCGAATCTGACGCGTTCCCTCCTGCTGCCAGGACGGGATTCTGCTGGGTGCCGTGGGCGCCTACGACTGGAACGGGGCTGTGCTGAAGGAGACGAGCAGCGGCAAAGTGATCCCTTTGCGCGAGTCCTACCTGAAGGAGTTCCCCGAGGAGCTCAAGAACCACGGCGCGTACCTGGGTGAGGCCCGAGGGGTGCAGGACGGGGTAAGGGGGCTGCAGAACGAACGGGGTGAAGGGCCGGCTGTGTGCTGGCCCTGAAGGGCCATCTGGGCCTGGGCACAGGAGGCCCGAGCCACTCTCCAGCCAGCACCACGCCTGGCACATAAAAGCCTCCTCGTGAACCGGAAGAGCGAGTGACACGCGGCTCCCCCTGCCGTGTGTTTCCAGCACGGTGTCTTCAGAGCGCCCAGCCCCTGCAGGGTCACAGCACCCGGTGGGTCCCCAGGACAAGGGCAAGGCCAGCAGAGAGCCCACGGGGAGACAGCTCGCGCCTCTCCTTGGGCCCTCGCAGGGCCGGCCGCGGACACGGCGCAGAGACCAGCCTGTTTCCTCCCGTGGCAGGGTACACGGTGACATCGGTCGTGTCCTCCAGGCAGGGGCGGGTGTACGTGGCTGGAGCCCCCCGGTTCAACCACACGGGCAAAGTCATCCTGTTCACCATGCACAACAACCGGACCCTCACCATCCACCAGGCTCTGCGGGGCGAGCAGGTAACGGGGCGCACGGGGCTCTCCCTCTGGGCAGGACAGGCCCCAGGCGTTACCCCAACCGGAGCATCCAGTCGTGCATGGTGCAGCTGGAGGTGATTTGGGATAGCATTTGTTACTGCTCTGAAATACCCACAAGCCTGGAGAACTGGGGAGGACTCTCACCCCTATGTCCTGGTCCTCTTGCCTCTGGTACACTGGCCGAACCTCTGCTGCCGCTGCCAGCTCCCACTGGCCTTCGCAGAGCGCAGGCTGCAGGCAGCATCTGGTTACCGTCCCCCCAAGGCGTCCTGGGGCGATCACCCTCCGCCAGCCACCTTCCTGCTGCCAGCAGTTGTGTCCACCCAGAGGGTGCCAGCTCCTTCCCTTTCCCTGGGATGGTGTCAATGTGGAGTGGGTACACTCCCAATGCCACTGCCTGCCTGGGTGTGGTTTGCAACCAGACCATGTCGCAGAGTCTTGTGTTGGGCAGTCATGGATACACATGGGAAAGTTGTGCTAAAGAAAGTGTCAGAAGCCGGGCTTGGTGGCACACACCTATAACCTTGTGTTCCAGGAGGCTGAGGTAGGAGCATCAAAAGTTTGAGTCTAGCCTGGACAACTTAAGGACTTAGCAAGGCTCTGTCTCAAAATTTAAAAAAAAAAAAAAAAATTAAAGGGCTGGGGGTGCAGCTCAGTGCAAAGGTCCTAGGTGTAGTCTCCGATGCCAAAAAAGAAAAGGTTGGAAATCAGTGCAGTGCCCAAGAAATCTTTGGTCCTGGGAAGCTGCGTGGCTTTTGCAAGATACAGGGCAGGTTCATGGCTGGAGCAAGCAAAGGGTCCAGGCCTGGGAAGGGCTCTCTGGCACTGTGCCGCCTCCTGACCCTAGCGTCCCCAACCCAGGCCTCGCTCCTCCTGACTGGCTGTGTCCCAGTGCCCCGGGCCGGAGCTGAGCCCTGTCAGGGTCTTCCCTACCTGCTGTCGCCAGCCCTCCTGCTCTGCGCCGTCACCACTCCCATGAGGACTGGCTTCTCCCTGCTGGGACTGAGTCCTGCCGGCTGTCCTGCCACTGTCCTGCGGCTCCTCTTCCACCCCTGGGGTTCAGGCCACCACCTCCACCTCCACCTGCCTGCCTGGCCGGTCCAAGGCCTGGGTGTCAGACAAACCCGGCTGGACGGGGATCGGCCTCTGGCTTTGGGCAGTAACTCGAGTTCTCAGACCTTAGGTTCCTCCTCTGCGAAATGAGACAGCCTGACTCGGACAGCTCAGGGCCAGAGCGCTTGACTCGTGTTCTAGCCCTGGATTTGATCCCCAGCACAGAAAAAACAAAGAAAGAAAACGGAACAACTGCGACTCCTATCCGGGCAGGGCCTCCCCCTTCCCTATGTGACTCGAAGGACTGATGAAGTCCCTCCTGTGCCAGGTCCCGTGAGCTCCCAGGCAGGGAGCAGATGCTGGAGGGAGGGTGTGGTGTGTGGGCACGTCAAGGAAGGGGCACCCGCCGCAGCGAGTGGCTGGGGAAGCCAGGGTGGCACAGGGGAAGTGAACGTCCGCTGGGAGCCGAGCGGTGGCAGGCGCTGCCTGTGAGGAACGGGCAGACGATGCACCCGGTGAAGCTGTGCGGGGGAAGCTCGGCCCCAGCCAGGGCCTGGGCCTTGTGGCAAAGAGGACCAATGGGCAGGCGGAGCTGGGCCACAGCTCTGGCGGCAGGGGTGCGACAGAGGCCCAGGCAGGGACAGACCTGCACGGTCTTATCTCACACACAAGCATACAGCATGGATTTAGCCTAGTGCCTTGGGGCAGGCTAGGGACCAACCTATGGGGTGCCCATGCCCCTCTGAGAGGTGCCACACCCAGGGGAGCAGTCGGGGAGCAGTCGGGGAGCAGTGGGGTGGTAACCAATGCCAGGTGGGACTTGCTGCAGGCGGGACAGGTGGCAGGAGTTGGAGCCGGGGACCTTCAGGTTTCGGAAGTGGTGGGGAGCCCGGCAGCCCCACACCGAGAGGACGCGGCGGTGTCAGCATCCAGGGAGGAACTGTCATTCGCCACCCAAGTCACAAACCAGAGAGATTTGTGACAGTAAAGCTTAAAAACCGGCTAACTGTCCAATGACAGGCGCTTGGCTGGGTACAGCAGGGCTTGTGCCTAACACGGAGCCCCAAGGAATCACCGGAGACCCTGCTGTAGGAGAAAGTAGGTCAGGGAGAAAAGGTTTACCACACACTGTTATCTTTAAAACCCAGTACCTGCCGGGCGTGGTGGTGCACGCCTGTGATCCCAGCACTCAGGAGGCTGAGGCAGGAGGATTGTTGTGAGTTCAAGACCAGCCTGGGCTACAAAGTGAGCTCAAGGCCAGCCTGAACTGCATAGTGAGACCCTGTCTCAAAAAAAAAAAAAAAAAAAAAAAAAAAGCCTCAGTACCTATACTGTGGGTGGAGCATCATCCCAACCTATAAAAATGCAAAAATACACATGCATGAATGGGCAATTCGGCTCAGGAGAAAGGCTGGGAGAAAATCCTCCAAAACATTCACGGGAGTGATGGCTGAACACTGGCACGAGGGGAAACTTTCATTCTCTTCGTACTTTGTTGGCGTTCTTTTTTTTTTGCCATTAGGGTACATCACTTCCTGCTGGAATGAACGGTCCAAAATAGTCCAATAACGAGCGTAAGAGTAGGGGAGGGCAGAGAAGAAGGGGACCCAGTGAACACAAGGAGGAAAAGGGACAAGGACACACACACAGCGGGGGAGACTGCAGTGAGGAGACAAAGGAAGGGCCTGGAAAGGGGGGCCCATGGGGACCCCAAACCCTGAGTCCAGGCCGGGCTTGGCTTCTCCATGGTCCGAGACGAGAGCCCTCATCCCTGCCCGTCCCCCGTGCCACAGATAGGCTCCTACTTCGGGAGTGAGATCACCTCCGTGGATGTCAATGACGACGGGGTGACCGACGTCCTGCTGGTGGGGGCGCCCATGTACTTCAGCGAGGGCCGCGAGCGGGGCAAGGTGTACGTGTACAACCTGAGACAGGTACTGCCAGCCCGGTGGGCACTTGGGGGCGCCTGAGCCCTGTACTGGCCTGGGTGGCCACAAGGGAGCCTGGTTCCTAGCGAGGCCGGTGCCTGCCTGGGAGAGCCGGGGGCGGGGCACGGGGCTCCTCTGTCGCTGGACTCCGGGGAGCAGCGCGGGGAGGGTGCTGCAGCAGCAGACAGAGGAGACGGGGACCCCTGAGCCCTTGCCAAGCTGCCTAGGCCCTTCCTTTCGGGCCGTGCGTGGCCTTGCAGAGCCGGTTCGTGTATAACGGGACACTGAAGGATTCCAGCAGTTACCAGAACACCCGGTTCGGCGCGTGCATCGCCTCCGTGCGGGACCTTAATCAGGACTCCTACAACGACGTGGTGGTGGGCGCCCCACTGGAGGACGGCCACCAGGGCGTCATCTACATCTTCCGTGGTGCCCGCGGTGGGATCCTGAAGACGCCCGCACAGGTGCGGCTCTGGGAGGGGGTGGCAAAGGACCGGGCACCTTGGAGCACGTCCATGCCAGCTCCGCTCGCCTGAGTGGAAACTGAGACGCGGGCGCCTGGTGTCTTCCCATGCTACCCCCCCCCTTGCACCCTCTCTCAGCCACCTTTGTCCTCGCAATGTCAAGCCCGGGACAGAGCCAGGTACTGAACCACACCCCACCAGCCCCGCCCTGGCATCTGTGCTTTTCCTCAATGAAGTGGACCTTACACCCTCCAAGCCAAGCGCCTCAGGTCCCGCTGCCCCCCGCAGGATCATCATTTTGCCACATACTTTATTAGTAAAATACTCTAATAAATATACTAAGCTTTGAGGTGCTGGTGGGTGGCCCGCAGGCAGCATGATGCATAAACACTGTATGGAGATTTGCAGGGGGCAGTACTGGGATTGAACCCAGAGCCTTCACATGGAGCTATGTCCCCAGGCCTTTTTTAAATATGCATTTTATTTTGAGACAGGCTGTCACTGTGTTGGTATGTTACCCAGGCCGGGATCCAACTTGCTATCCTCCCGCTTCAGCCTCCAGAGTGCTGGGCTTACAGGCCTGTACCTCTCCTGGCTGGCAATTCATTTAGGACGTAATATTTTAACCCAAAAGAATGGCTTTCAAGGTGCCACAAAGGCCTGGGGTGTGGGAAACTCCTGGTGGCTTCGAGCAGACCGGCCCGGCTCCTGCTGTGTCTGTCCTCCCTGCCCCGGCGGCCACCTGCCCACCCCGGCCCCACCCTGTCCTCTCTCTGCAGAGAATCGCGGCCTCCGAGCTGGCTCCCAGCCTGCAGTACTTCGGCTGCAGCATCCACGGGCAACTGGACCTCAATGAGGACGGGCTGGTGGACCTGGCCGTGGGCGCCCTGGGCAACGCTGTGATTCTGTGGTAGGTCCTGGGGGTTGGGACTCAGGTGCCCCCTGGTCCACCATGGGGAAAGGGTGTAAAGGACTTGCTTCAGGATTTCCATCCCTCGTCTGTAACCACTGTCAACCAGACAAACCCCGTTCTGACCACAGGGCACCCCCGTGAGTTATCTTGAGGTCCACGTTCCTCTTCCCAGTGACTCCTGGGACTTTGGACCAATTTAGTGTGCCGAAACCCTTGGAGTTTATCTAAAAGCTCTGGCTTGAGGGGCATTTCATTTTTCTTTTTTTGTGTGTGTGTGTGTGCTTTTTGAGATAAGAGTCTCTCTGGGTAGTTCATGCTGGCCTCAAACTCACAGCGATCCTCCTGCCTCAGCCTCCTGGGAGCTGGAATTATAGGTATGCACCACCACGCTCAGCTCAGGAGCATTTCTTCCACTCAGCTTTTTAAGTACTTCAAGGGGTACACTGGACATCTTTCTCTCAGTTGAAAATACCTTTTCCTGCCCCCTGGTGTGGGACACTGTTTGTGTGACTCAAGAAGTTCTGTCCTCCAAACCCCTTCAGGGATCCATTGCAGTATTTTCTACAAGGATATGTATTTTACCATGCATTGGCTACTTTTAAGGAAAGAAATATTAATTTTAGTCTTTTCCATGTGTCGATGAGATATATTTCATCATAAATATAGAGAAAATTTGTAAACTAACGAAAAATCCACTCACCACTCCCTCATCATCTTCACCACTGGTATTTTGACATTTTCCTCCCAAGCTTTCTGCCTGCATTTAATTTTCTATAAGTGTAATCATAATTTTCATACAATTTTTAACAGAGAATCAAGAAGGGCTGGATGAGCCAGGCGTGGTGGTCCACACCTACCTGTAAGCCCAGCACTCTGGGAGGCTGAGGCAGGAAGATGGCAAGTTTGAGCCCAGCCTGGGCAACTCAGTGAGACCCCTGTCTCAAAATACAAAGTAAAAAAGGGCTGTAGGTGAAATGTAGTATGAAGGCCCTGGGTTCAATTTCCAGTACCACAAAATTAAATTGAATTACATTTTTAGAAGGGTGGTGGGTGTGTTCCTGTCCTCAAATATTTTATGATGAGGTCAGCAATGTGAACTGCGCAGGTCCCCTAGGAAACAGCCCGAGGCACAAGACGGGCATCCACAGCTGGGGTCGGGACAGATGTGGCTCAGAAATCCTTACAGGAAATGAGGGCCCCACGTGCACGGAGCCCACGCGGGTCCATGTCACAGGAAGGACTCAGCCACACTCCAGCTGTTGAGATCTAGACCACCGCGCCACCCACCCGGGGATGCAGTGGAGAGCCAGGGCCTGTGGGAGGAAGACGGGCAGACCCTGTGCCCCTTTTGATCGGACCTGGGCTGGGAGCAGCTCGTCGGTGGGGTTTTCAAGCTCCCACTCAGTCTGATGGACGTCCAGGGCTGGGGACAGGGACAGAAGAGGCAGAGGGACACCAGTGCCGTTGACAGCCAGTGGCCCGGGGACAGAGATGGGCACTGCTCTGGGGCCGAGCCCTCCCCGTCGCCCCGCTCCATTCCCAGCCCGAGCCTCTGCCCTTCCCCGCCTCCAGGGCCAGGCCCGTGGTCCGGATCAACGCCAGCCTGCGCTTCGAGCCGCCCAGGATCAACATCTTCCACAAGGACTGCAAGCGCAGCGGCAGGGACGCCACTTGCCTGGCCGCCTTCCTCTGCTTCACACCCGTCTTCCTGGCCCCCCATTTCCAGACGGCGACTGTCGGTAAGCCAGGCCCCCCAGTCGGCCCCCCACCTCCCTGCTTCTGCAGCCTGGGATTTCCCAGTGTGGGTTCCAAGCACCAGCTGTCACCTGGAGCCCCCTGCCACGTGCTAGAAGCCCCTGCGGTGCTCTCCCACCAGGGGACAAAAGGGACTTGTGCCAGGATGAGGGTGGCAGTGAGCAGAGAGGTCAGAGGAGGAGGAAACAGTCTGGGTGCAGGTAGAACACGGGGCTCAAGGCAAGGACTGGGGTGCAGAAGCTGGAAGCCAGCGCAGATGAGTGGGAGGGACTGCTCTGGCTGGCACCTGCACGAAAGGCAGCGTCCTCCTGCACCTGCCCTTCTACCGGAGGCCAGTGTTTGCACCAGCTCGCCAGGCCATCCCAGTGACAGGTCCAGACCCAGCTGCCCCGCAGAAGATGCAGGAGGAGCAGGCGCAGACATGGAAGAAAGGGTGTCAGGATGAGGAGAACAAAGGCGTCCTGGGTGGCCCTGCCCTGCCCTTCCAGGTTCCATCTGTGAAAGCAGACACAGGGACGGCAGAACAGTGCCTGCCCAGGAAGTGCAAGGTCTTGAGTTCGATTCCCGGTACAAAACAAAAAACAAAAAAAAGACACAGGGCTGGGGCACCCTGAGTCCTGGCTAGCAGACAGGACAAGGGACTGAGCCTTTCCCAGAACCAGCAAGAGATTTTCCCAGAAGAGGAGGAGACTGCAGCCTGAACCCCCAGAACCGAGCCACTGTACCCATCCCCAGAACTTTCCCCCTGGACGCCTGGCTTCCTGCATGGAGATGCCCTCCTGGGCCTCCTTGGGGAAGGGACACAGCTGTCCCCTGGCCAGCCCAGGGGCTTCCTAGAGGAAGTGGACCTTTTGAGGCTGCCATTGAAGAACAGCAGGTCCTGGGAGGGACACGGGAGAGGCTGGGCAACGCTGACCCTGACCCTGACCCTCCCCTCCCGCAGGCATCAGGTACAACGCCACCATGGACGAGAGGCGCTACATGCCGCGGGCGCACCTGGACGAGGGCAGTGACCAGTTCACCAACAGAGCCGCGCTGCTCTCCGCCGGCCAGGAGCACTGCCAGCGGATCAGCTTCCACGTCCTGGTGAGCCCAGCTGTCCCCTCGGCAGGTGAAGCCCTGCATATGGAAGAGGAGCCCAGTGTGTCCAGCCCCGTCCCAGTCTGCAGGGACCCTGGGGCAGCCAGAGGGCAGCACGTCCAGCCTTGTGCACACCGCCACCCCACCCGGTGCCCACACCACCTGCTCCTCAGACACCCACGGGATCCTTGGCAGGGGCTGAACCCCAGGAGGGAGATGGGCTGGGGGCGTCCAGGGAGAGAGCTGGGGCTCCAGCTCACCATGGCTCAGAAGAGAGGGCTGCAGGCCCCAGCTAAGGGGGACCCGCACATGGACAAGCCGGGAGGAAGTGTAGAGCAACCAGTGTGGCAGAGACCCGGAAACCACAAGCAGGGTGGTGGCCTGGTGCCCACTTTATGTGTGTGGAAGAGGACAAGAAGCTTGCCTCCGCTGGCTGTGGTGCCGCACGCCTGTAATCCCAGCACTATGGGAGGCTGAAGCAGGAGGACTGAAAATTCAAGCCCAGCCCCGGCAATTTAACTACTTAGTGAGATTCTGTAGCCGTCCCCCCAAAAAAATTTTTGTCCCAAAATTTAAAAGGAAAAAAAAAATTAAAAGGGCTAGGGTATAGTTTAATGCAAAGGCCATCGGCCCAATCCCTAGTACCAGAGGAGAAGAGGAGGTGGTGGTAGCCAATTGCCCAGGCTACAGCTCCAGCATCAGAGACCAAGGCAGGGGACAGTCAAGAGTTCCCCTGGCCCAGGTCAACAATCATGGCTCAGAAGAGTAAGGTGGCCCAAGACATCCACTTACCTGCTAACGTCAGTCCTGGGGCGCGTGTCACAGTCCTCCCCGCATGGCCGGCCCCTCGGGATCTCACCAAGCACCAATTAGAAGCCTGCATTCTCAAGCTTGCCCCAGCCTACAGACTCGGGAACTCGGGGCACCCCCAGCACCCAGGGATTCTGAGGGGAGACGGTGCACAAAACCTTCTGGCTTTGGCTTCTTCCCTTCATTGGAAGGGATGGGAGCCAGCCTTTAAGGGTGAGCAGGAGCTTGGTGCAACAGCCAGGCAGCGGCTGGCATCAGCTCAGGCAGGGGCTTGCCGCCTGCACGCTTGGCCACCTGCAGAGTTGGGGACCTTTGTCCCCAGGCACCTTCCCTCCCTCCCAGGGTAGGAGGCAGAAGCTCTGCTGCAGGGGTCCTGATGCTGATAACGATCCCCTCTCTGCTCTCCCGCTGTCCTCACCCCACCGCAGGACACTGCTGACTATGTGAAGCCAGTGGCCTTCTCGGTCGAGTATTCTCTGGAGGACCCAGAGCATGGCCCCGTGCTTGACGATGGCTGGCCCACCACTCTCAGAGTCTCGGTATGGCCCGGCAGGCAGGGTCTACACCCCTGGCACCCATCCCTCCCCCACCTGACCTCCTCTCCAAGACCCAGACCCGGAGAGCCAGATGCCTTTCCACCGCCTGTCCCAGGGTCCTTAATTACTTCCCCATCACTGGGACAAAATACCTGACACCACAGTTTACGGGAGGAGAGGTTCATTTGCCTCACAGTTCCTGTGGGCTCAGTCCATGGTTAGCCGGCTCCGAGGCGGAAACAGCATGATGGAAGGGCCTAGCGGAGGACAGCTGCTCAGCACGTGGCAGCCAGGATGCAGAGAGCAGGGAGGAGTGGGAATAAGAGTTCACCTTCCTAGGACACCCCCAAAGACACCTCCAGCCAGGCCCCACATCCTACCGGCACATTCAGCTGAGAACTCTTCAGATGAACCCACTGATGAGCATAGCACCCCTTCATCCAATCACCCTCCAAAAGCTCACCTCGGAACACAAGACTGGGCCTTGTCCCTCCTCCTGGACTTCCCACTTCCCTGATCCACTCGGTCTCCCTTCAGAACCTGGCCCACTGTCACTTCCTCAGAGCTTCCTCCGCACCTAAGGCCACCCGCCTTCCTCCTCTCTGCCTCTTCTCTTCCTCATACTGCTGCGGCTTCTGGTTTGCTGTGCATCTCACACCATGGCTCCTTGTTCACGCAGCAACCTCACCCATGCGTGCGGGGCGGCAGCTGTGTCTTCCTCGCCCTCCATCCCGCTCCCAGACACCTCGCCCCGTGCAGCAGGTGGTCAGCACCAGAACTGTGCTTCGGGCACAGCGGGAGCGCCGTGCTGCCAGGGGCCCAGGGAGGAGCTGAGCTGTGAGAAGCAAGTGCAGGAGAAGTGGCAATGTGGCCTCTGGGGGCAGCAGGATAATCAGCCTGCTGGTGGGCAGGGTCCCCTCCCGACGCCCTCACCTGGCTTCCCTGGCCCAGGTGCCCTTCTGGAACGGCTGCAACGAGGATGAGCACTGCGTCCCCGACCTGGTGCTGGACGCCCGGAGTGACCTGCCCACCGCCATGTGAGTGTCCCCTCCCCTGCTGGCGGCTCTCGGGGCCTGCGTGTTCCCCACACAGCTTTCTCATAAGTAAGCAGCGTGGATCAGACGCTGAACGGGAGCCTGGCTCTGGCCGGTCCCGCTTGCAGCTCCTGTGTGGCCTCAGTTCCCTGCTGTGTTAAAATGATTCTGCTCCCAGCCCTCGCAACTGTGCTCCCAAAGGGAATCTGAACTACAGAGCAGGTAGAGAGCGGGGGAGGCAGGGCACCTGGTGTTCTGGACACTCATCCTCCCGCCCCCAGTTGAGGCGGCTCCCTGGGCCCCAGCTGGACACCTGAACTTGCTGATCCTGACAAAAAGCTACTGAGGTGCCAGGGGTGATGGTGCACACCTGTAATCCCAGCTCTTGGGAGGCTGCTGCAGGAGGACTGCTTCAAGTGTGAGGCCAGCCTGGGCTACATAGTGAGTTCAAAGCCAGCCTGGACTACAGAGCAAGACCCTGTCTCAAAAAGAAAAAAAATAGTACATCCAAAACCTCATGGAAGGGGCTGGGGATTTAGCTCAGCGCAAAGCGCCTGCCTGGCAAGCACAAGGTCGTGAGTTCGGTTCCCGGTACCGGAGAAAAACCAAAAAAA